AATTAGTTCTTTAAAATTTCACATTGGAAATGTAATAAGGATTTAGTTTTGGTTTGTTCTTTTTAACTTCTTTTTTAGCTTATTCACACTGATTTGCACAAATAGATCATTTACATTTTTCTGTTAAATATCTAGATTCTTAAGATGTTGTAGTTTGGCTTTTAGCCCTAATGTAAAGGAACGAGCATATGCTGAGCACTTTTGGGGCACAGCAAGCTCTGTGCTGGGGTATTTTAAATACATACTTTAGTCCTCATAATAATAGTCTATGATAGGTATCACTCTCCTCATTTTATCAATGTCAAGAGAAGAATGAGAGGGTAAATATTTTGTCTGAGCTCCTAGAACAAGTTAGTGGCAAAGCTGGGATATAAACTGCTCATTTTTTACTCTAAAATCTATGTTTTCTTTTCCTCTTTCCACAAATACCAGCATCTCTCAGAAAGAAATGACATATTAATCAGCTGTGTAGATGAAAGCATAAACTCACTTAAAACCATGAACATACGAATGTTCATGTGTTCTGTAAATGATAGACTATTTCCTGAGTGTGGGGCACTTCACCATCTAGTATGTGGCTTTTGCCCTCTGGGGCCTGACAGTCTATTGAGGAAATCTACATAAGTCGTAGAATGGGGAACTCACCCCAGGAATAGCCAATCTACTATCAAAGAATAAATGTACTATATGAAAACAGAATGCCTTCTTTTAAAGTCTCCAAGTATTGTGGTTATCTTTGATATCTAGTATAGTAGCAATAAGTTTTTTTCTTCACATCTAAAAATAAAGTATTTAATAATTGTATACAAAAATTTATTAGTAGTGTCCCTAAACATGATATATGTTTGATATAGTCATGATATATCAAACATGATGTTTGATATAGTCATGAATCCATTTATAAAGCTTGTTCAATGGATACATATATCCATTGAAATATGAAATAAGATTATTCCAGAATAATCTTTTTGTCCTTCATTTCTAATTTGCAGGCTTGGGTTTTTGTTAATGTACTGCTTCCTTGTTAATGTGGTTTTAGTAAATTCTTTAGCACACTCGGTACAATGTCTGCTCTAAGGTAAGGATAAATCTATGTCCGTGATAAAAATTTGACTAGAGAGTAGTACAGAGCTCAGGAAAGTTTAGATCGTCTCAATATGTCATTAAGGCTGAGATTCTA